TCTTAACTTCAGGGCAATCATTTTCTGGTATTTCCTTATCCTTTTAATACTCAGTTATTCATACCTAAACACTACAGATTATTAGGTTTGCTTTCATATATACAGAACTTATACATTGGTGTTCTTTTTTTTTTTTTACAGGTTTATTGAGATTTATTTTGCATACCATACAACATCCATTTAAAATATACAGTTAAGTGGTTTTTAGTATATTCATGGAGCTGTGCAACCATCACCACAACCTAATTTTAGAGCATTTTAACATCCCCCACAAGAAACCCCATACCTATTCCCAGTCATTCTTCATTACCTCTTCCTGCCCCCACAGCTCCAAGCAACCACTGATCTACTTTCTGTCTCTATGGATTTGCCTGCTTTGTGCATTTCACATAAATAGAATCATATAATATGTGGTCTGTGATTGGCTTCTTTCACTTAGCATAATGTTTTCAAGGTTCATCCATGTTGTAGCATGTATCAGTACTTCCATTTCATTTTATAGCCAAATAATATTCCTTTAAATGGACATACCACATTTTGTTTATTCATTCACCAACTGATAGACATTTATTTGTTTTGTTTCTACTTTTTTGCTATTTTGAATAGTGCTGCTGTGAACATATGTGCATAATTTTTTGTGTGGACATATGTTTTTATTTATCTTAGATATATAGTTTATATATATACACACACATACACATGCGAGTAGAATTTCGAGGAACCATCAAACTGATTTCCAAAATGTCTTCACCATTTTACATTCCCACCAACGATGTATGAGAGTTCCAATTTCTCCATCTCCTTACCAATACCTTGTTATTTTCCATTTTTAAAAAAATTATACCCCACCTAGTAGATGTGAAATGGTATCTAATTGTGGTTTTGATTTGGATATCTTTTCATGTGTTTATTGACCATTTGCATATCTTCTTGGAGAAAAGTCTATTCAAATGTTGCCCATTTTAAAATTAGGTTGTATTTTTATTGTTTAGTTTTTAGAGTTCTTTACATATTCTGAATATAAGTCCTTTGTCGGATTTGTAAATATTTTCTCCTATTCTGTGGGTTTTTTACTTTCTTGATAGCATCCTTTGAAGCAGGAAAGTCTTTAATTTTATAAAGTCCAACTTATCTTATTTTTTTCTTTCATTGCTTCTGCTTTTAGTATCATATCTAAGAAACCATTCCCAAACCCAGGATCCTAAAGATTTATACCTACATTTTCTTCTACGAGTTTTATTTCTTATATTAGGTGTAGGATCCATTTTGAGTTAATTTTTGCATATGGTGTGAGATAGGGGTCTAACTTCCTTCTTTTGCATGTGGATATCCAATTTCCAGTTGTCCCAGTACTATTGTTGAAAAGGTTCTTCCCGTTAAATTGTTTAGGCACCCTTGTTGAAAATCAATTGACTGTAATGTGAGGGTTTATTTCTGGACTTCCAATTATATTCCCTGATCTGTATGTCTGTCCTATGCCAGTACCACACTGTCTTGATTGTGTAGCTTTGTAGTAAATTTTGAAACTGGGAAGTCTGAGTCTTCCAACTTTGTTCTTTTTCAAGACCGGTTTCGTGTTTGTGGATCTCTTGCATTTCCATGTGAATTTTAGGATCAGTTTGTCAATTTCCGCAAAGGAAGCAGCTGGGATTCTGATAGATGTTGCACTGAATCTGTAGATCAATTTGGGGAGTTTTGCCATTGTAGCAGTATTGTCTTTTGATCCCTGAACATGGGATATTTTTCCATCTATTTAGATCTTCTTTTTTTCATCAATGTTTGGTTTTCAGTGTAAAAGTCATGTGCTTTGTTAAATTTATTCCTAGGTTTAAAATCCTAGTGTTTAATTTTAACGAGTTTTATTGCTATGTCTTTATGGTCACTTATCTTCTGCAGTATTAAATATGCTTTTAATCCTATCCAGTATATTTTTCATTTCAGATATCACAGTTTTTTTTTCTCTGTAAGTCCGATTTGGGTCTTTTTTATATCTTCCATTTCTCTCCACATGTTCATATTTTTCTTAACCTTCCAGAACACATGGGATGTATTTAACTCTAGTGTCTGTGTCATTGCTGGGTTAGTTTCTACTGATTGATTTTTTTTTTTCCTGGTCGTGATTCATATTTTCTTTCCTGCTTCTTTGCATGCCTGGTAAATTTTAATTGAATACTAGACATTTTGAATTTTATGTTTTGAATGCTAGATTTTATTGTATTTTTAAAAATACTGTTGGACTTTTTTTATGACACACTTAAATTACTTGAAATTCATTTGATCCTTTCAAAGCTTTCTTTATAGGCTTTGTTAGATCAGCTTTACAGCAGTTTTTAATCAGAGGCTAATTTAGCCCCACTAAGGCAATATTTGATGCCCTATAAATTAGGATGTCTTTCCACCATGGCTCATTGGATCACAACATATTCCCAGCCTTATTCTTTTCCTATGGTTATTTCCCTGGAGAGAGACAGAGAGAGCGAGACACACACACACACACATCTCTAGAGCTCTTTTTCTGTGCAGCTCCTTTTTCCACACTATTTCCCCCTCTCTTCAAATTCTAGCCATTTTGGCTTCCCCAAACTCTGAACTCTTTCTCTGCAATACAGTGAGATTACTGGGCTTCCTTTGAGTTTTACTTCCCTGTGCTGTGGCCTGGAGACTCTCCAGGCAAAAGCTGAGCATTTGTGTTTTTGGTAAACTGTAGGTTTACCAAATCACAGGGCTCACCTTGTTTGTTTTCTTTTTCTCAAGAATCATTGTCCTGTGCTGCCTGTTGTCTAATGATTGAAAACTATTGTTTCATCTGTTTTATTTGGTTTCCTGATTTTTTAAGGAGGAAGATTAATCCAGTCCTTGTTAATTTGTTATGGCAAGGAGCAGAAAATCTCATCTAAATCTTTAAATTTATTGAAACTAAAATTGGGTTTAAATTAGCATGGCTTTATTTTTGTGTTCTTTCAGTTGCTCAGATATTTACCTAGACTTGTGTTTTAGTATTAATAAGTTGAAAGAAATAACAGAAATTGTTAGGTGGGATGGCTAGTGTTTAGTATTCCTTTCCTGTTTATTATTCATATTGTTTCTCCTAAAGTCATAAAGGATGTGTATATACAACATGCAGTTTACCAAAAACACAAATGTCAGTTATGTCAGCGTTCTCATATCTAAACTCCTTTCAGGGAGGCAGGACTAAGCTTGAGAATAGTCTTCCTATGAATAAACTTATTTCTGTACATGGGGACATGGCAAAGATGATATCCTTGTATATGACAAAGTTTAAAATTGTTTTGAAATACTAGCGTATAATTTTATAGGTGACAAAATATAGCCACACTGCAGTTAGTACATTTAAAGAATAACCATACTTGATTTGTTTCTTGATTTAATCTTAAAAATCACTATTTCTCCTTTAGCATTGTTCAGCAAGAAGACCCAAATCAAGAGCTTTCAAAAGATGAATTCATTCTGAAGTTGAAAGCAGAAGTGCAGCGTTTGCTGGGTAGCAACTCAATGAAGCGTCATCTGGTGTCTCAGTTACAAAATGATCTCAAAGACTGTCATAAGAAAATCCAAGATCTCCAACAAGTGAAGAAAGATGAAAAAAGCATTGAGGCTGAGGTTCGTAGAGCCTATAGAGTTAAAAAGCCATTTTAAAGAAAACTTGTACATTTTTATATTTAATAAGCCTTTGGCTTTCAGGGGTTCATTTGACATTTTTAGAAGTAGAGTTTAAACAAGGAAATGCCATTTAAAGGGATACTGACAGTCTCTGACTTACGATGTTTTGACTTTACAATGGTGTGAAATCTTTACACGTTCAGTAGAAACTATACTTTGAGTACTCACACAACCATTCTGTTTTTCACTTTCAGTGCAGTATTCAAAAAATTCCCTGAGATATTTAATACTTTATTATAAAATAGGCTTTGTGTTAGATCATTTTTCCCAGCTGTAGACTAATGTTTAAGTGTTCTAAGCATGTTTAAGGTAGGTTAGGCTAAGCTATGATGTTTGATAGGTAAAATGTGTTAAATGCATTTTCTGCTTTTGATATTTTCAACTTATACTGGATTTATCAGTATATAACCCCATCGTAAGTTGAAGTGCATCTGTATATTTTTTGGTTACCCTTGCAAGAAAGAGTACTACATTGCAGCTAGTAAATAAGATACAGATTAGGTGAAATTCCTTTATCGTAAATACAGGGAAATATTCTATATAACAAGGTACCTGCACTTCTTCAAGATTGGGTTATACCAACAGTGCTCTAAAATTTGGTTAAAGTAAGTCCTCCCTGTTGAAATGCTTTAGCATTTTGTCTGTGAGATTTCCCTGGCCCATGTTTTTATAATAAAAGTCCTTCTCCATAAGGAGATTAATTACATAGATAGAATCAGGTTATGTCAATCACTGAAGTCCACCTCTATGTTCTTCACTTAGTCTTCTGGCTTCATAGGTGAGGAAAATGAAGCTGGAGGAGTCTGTGACCCTTTTGAGGTTACAGAGTCAATCTTAGGCAAATTGAAACTAAAACACATGACTAATGTAGGTCCAGATTATTTCTTCAAGATCATGTTATCACAGAGATCCTTAGGGCTACCCTCCTTTAACTGCTGCCTTTTTACCTTCCACATTTCATCCTCACCCATCTATACTCCCAGTAGAGAGTAATGCATAAGAGACTAATAACTAAGAAAAGGGAAGGGAAAGGGGAAAAGGAGTATACTACTTTCCTGGATGGAAACAATTTTTTATTTCCCATTTTGGTGCTGTTTTATCTCTTGATCCTTTAAACTAGGAGTTGTGTTCATTAAAACAGTTTTATTAAAGCAAAGTATGTAAGATGTTCTGTGCTAATTATTATGGAATTTTAATTGTGGCTAATTTATTTTTCAGTAATAATAGTGTGTTTTTACTGTTAAAATTCTGCCCAGCCTAATTTCCTCTTCTGAGTAACTATGTTTGGTGAGTAAAACACTGATTTTAGTGTTAACAACAAACGAAAAAAACCACCCCCTCACCCCAGCACATTTAACATCTTTAAAACAAGCTTGTTTTAATTGTTGGCATACATTTCTTTGAAAGGATGGGAAGGAAAGCTTATGTCTCAATTTGTATTAGGAGATTAGAGTTATTAGTTTCAGCATTTTAGTGAGAGTAGCCTAAGATTTAGGAGACTAAGATCCTGATTTTGAGTCTGAACCTTAGCTCAGGTATCTTAATGTTTTCTTTGTTCTATATTGAAGTTATTAATGGCATTTGCTATACAGATACACTTCTCATGTGTGGCAATTGATGGTGGCCATGCCTTATATTGTTTTTTTAGATCAAAGGGGAGGTATCTCATCTTTTTTTTTTTTTTTTGAGACAAGTGTCTTGTTCTGTCACCCTGGGCAGAGTACAGTGGCATCGTTGTAGCTCACTGCAACCTCAAACTCCGGGGCTCAAGTGATCCTCCTCCCTCAGCCTCCCAAGAAGCTGGAACTACAGGTGCGCACCGCAACACCTGGATAATTTTTCTATTTTAGTATACGGGGTCTTGCTCTTGTTCAGGCTGGTCTCAAACTCCTGAGCTCAAGCAATGTTCCTGCCTCGGCCTCCCAGAGTGCTAGGATTACAGGTGTGAGCCACCACGCCCAGCCTTCATCTTCGAATACTCTTTTTGTTGATCTCCTCTTTTGTCATAGTGATTTCTCAGTACGTATCAAAACTCTGATTTTTCTCAAAGTGTCACTTCAGTCCTTCCTGCGTATGTCTGTTCTGCTTCAAATTACTGTGTAGGAATTTCCTGAGAATATTGTCTTGATAATTCTCTGCATATGTGCTCAGTAAATATTTGTTGGATTAATATACATATTGATCTACTTCCTAGATGGGGAAGAGAGAAGAAGTAGTAACTTAACCAACAAATGTTTTGTTTTGTTTTTAATACTCAAGTCCATAGTTATCCAATTAGCCTATGAGCACCTTCAAACTTTGCCTTTGCCTCTTATTTCCCACATCTTTTATGATGGAGCTTTCTGTTTGGTCTGTAAAGTTAGAAAGCATGGTTGGGAGGTATGTGGAGAAAGAGCAAATCATTCAGGGAAGCTTTTTTATTTTTTTTAAAAGCCACTCTGTGCAAGGCCTTGTGGGATTCAATGATGAAAGAAACAATGGCCCTTTCTTAAAAGACCTTATCATCTAGAACAGCACTATCCAATAGAAATATAATGGAGCCACATATTAATTTAATATTTTCTACCAGTCCTGTTAAAGTAAAAATAATAAGTGAAACTAACTTAAATAATGTATTTTATTTTAGTATTTAGCCCAATATATACAAAATATTATCAATTCAGTATGTAATCAGCATAAAAATTATTAATGAGATGGATTAAATTTTTGTGTGTACAGAGTTCTTTATATCTGGCATGTATTTTATACTTACAGCACATTTAAGTTTGGACTAGCCACATTTCAAGTGCTTGATGACCATAAGTGGTTAACAGGCACCATATGTAGCAGTATAGATCTATGAGGACACGGGCATCTATAGCTTTGTGTAATAGGGTGACATTAATCTGAACAAAGTACTATGAGAAGGAATGACTGACTAGGCTTGAGGGTGAGAGTAGGGTCGTAAGGTGGCCTTAGTGAAGTTTTTAAGGAGAGGACATTTGATCTTTGTCCTGAAGGACTAATCCAGGAGAGAAGTGGGTAAAGGACATTTCAGCATTGAGCAGAAGTACATAAACAAGAGGATGTAGCAAATAATCTGGTACGACTAGAGAGTAGGGCCTGTGAATAGAAGTTTATATTATGCAAGCTCAACCTTTCCGAAATCTTTAATGAGGCTGGAAGACGTAGCTGACTCAGTATCTATTTTTACAAAGAATGATCACAGCTGTCATTGAATCCTGAGGTTAATGAAATGGTATTGAACTTCTCTGCTTGCTACAGGGAAATCTATTAAGAGAAAGAACATATTAGTTTAAACTTCTCTGGATATCTTTTTAAAGAGGACTGGGCCATCAAAATTCTCCCCTACGCATTTCTAAGTATATTTTCCAAGTGTTAAGAAGGCCAGCAAAAATATTTACTACGTAGTGGATTTGGCATGTTTCTTTTATGAACATTTTGCATATACTGATTTATTTATTGCTTTATACATTAATATTCTATAGTATGTTTTATGTTCATTTATATCTTATATAGAACAATCTAAAATTATTACAGAGTTATAGTTTTTTTTCTTTCATGTCATATGACTATTTATAGCAGTGGTTTATTTAAAGCTGAATTCTTATTCAGGAACCTTATAGTTATAAAATTGTTTCTGTACGAAACCAAAATATGCTGCTTTCTGACATTTCCAGGATAATGTGATGAAAATTAGTAGACTGCCCACATATAGCACTGATTGGCAGTGATTGGTAGTGGATCAAATATTATGCCATTTATTCCAATTGACCAATGGGGCCATTAAGGTAGAATGTGGTGAAAGCCTCAGGAAAATCAGACTAGCTAACTAGCAGTCAAGGCTCACATCTGCACTGAATTTTTTGTGAACATAATAAATAAAACAGAGAGGCCTTTTGTGTCTGATATGTAATAAAGATCATTACTTTACCACAAGTTGTGGTTAAGGCTATACTTTGATTCTAAAGGCACTTGATAGGCAATGCTCAACAGCCAGCTCAGAAAGTTTCTGGCTAGAATCCTTTTAGACATAGAAATTAGGAAGATAGTATGAGGAGTTGGTGTATTAAGCTTCTTGTTTCTTGAAGATGATGTATCCAGTAGTCCACTTTTAGAAGGAAATTTTGTTGGGACATTCAGTGGTCCTTTTTAAAGATCTTCATACAGGTACTGTGCTGACAAGTACCTAGTCCCTGTGTGCCTGCACTGTGATCACGTGTCAAAACTGAGTCTAAAACCCAGCCATGACAAGAAACTCACCTGCTGGAAAAGAAGCACAAATGAATGTCATAAACTTTAAAAAATGGAGGCCAAGTATAAGAGAATGAGAGCCATTCTTTTGAGTCAGTAAAATCCTTAAAAGTCTCATTAGCACTCCCCCATCCAGAGAGAAGCTAACAGAGTAGGTATTCTTAGCTCTTCGCTCTTCTGACTGAGATAGTAGAAATGGCTTCTGGAAGAAGATGGCAAGTGACCAGGGAAAAGTCAACAACTGGAGCTGTCTCCCTGTGAAGGAAGTGAAGACTCTACTGCTCTACACCAAACTAGAAGAGTGATCCAAAGCCTTGGTGTTCTGTCACCTTACATGGGAATGAGATACACATACCTTTTCTTCCACCAACGAGTAGAATGAACCTTGGTGCAGGATACTTTTTAAACATTGTAGAAGAGAGTTCAAAGTCCAGGTATATTCATAAACCAACAAGTCAAGCAGAGTAGATATATTTTAAAAATCTTTGTTTCTCTTGTCAAGGAATATAGAACTTACAAAAATAGACAAGGAAAACACTCAGATGGTAAGAGGAAAATGTGCCAAGTTATATAAATAGACAAATCTGGGAAGATAAAAAAACAAATGAACAACGAAGGTATGTATCTAAGAAGTTCCACTTTGGTGTCAACATCAGAGATGCAAATGAAAGCAATTGTTAGATATTTTTTTCCCATCAAATGTAAGTCTGTCATGAGTCTTAAAAATTATACTTATTGAGTAAAATATATATCCATGAGTTAATGCCGGCATAAATAAATACTAATCCATACATATTTAGAATAAATGCTAATCTTAGTGGGTGAATGTATGATGAAAAAATAGGATGTTTGCGTTGTCTCAGAGTATCTGCTCATAAGATACTTATCATTAGTTGTAAGTCCAAAAAATAGTATGTTTACGAGGGAGATGCCTGGCAGATGCTACCTTCATCAGTTGACCTTCACTAGTGATGAGACATTTTGACATCATGTGTCTTCTGCAAAGAGCACACATCACTTCTTGGCATTTATGCTAAAGATGCATAAACTGAATTTAATAAAGGAGTAACATCAAAAAACCCCCAACTGAGGGACATCCTACAAAATAACTAGTGAATATAGATAGTACTCTTAGAAAACGTCATGGGTTTGAAAGACAAAGACTGAAGAACTGTCCTAGATTGGAGGAGACTAATGAGACATAACAACTAAATGCCATGTGGAATCGTGGATCTGATCTTGGACCCGAGCAAAGGTCATTAGAGGAAAATTGGAGACATTTGTATAAGGTCTGAAGATTAGTCGATAGTCTTGCATCCATTTTAATTTACTGGTTTTTAGAATTGTACTGTGGTTATATTGGGGTAAGATCAGAGAAAGATATATGGAAATTATTTGTACTGTGTTTGCAATTTTTTTAAAGTATGGAATTATTTCAAAACGAATACTTAGAATGTTTTAAAAACCTGAGAAACTTTTGACTTTTCTTTAACATTTAGACTAAAACAGATACCTCAGAAAAAACAACTAATCAGTTATGGCCTGACTCTTCTACTTCTGATATGATTGTCAGAGATGATATTCTGAGACTTAAAAATGAAATTCAAGTTTTACAACAACAAAATCAGGTGATTAAAAATATTTTCTATATTTTATGAGAATTTACATGGCCTTGTTAAATACAAAGTATATAATCAACTTTTTAAAAATACAGAAGGTGATGTTAGTAGACAGATATATATATATTAGTGGGTGATTATGAGTTCCATTTATTTTCCTTTACTAGTAATTATTGTGTGGTGGCTTCATCAGAAGGTAGATAGTGTAATTCCAGTTTCCTTTCTATGTAGTAGCATAGCTAATAGAGGTTTTTCTTTACTCAGCCAGCCCTTGACCAAAAACTGAAACCTTGCTTATTTAGATGGTTGCTGAAGATTATTGAATACTAAAACTTATTTTAAGGCACCAGTTAGCCAATATCTCTCTGGTTAAATATTTTCATTTTATGTTTTTCAAAATAAATACAAAATTTAAACTCTTAGTCCTGTCGGAAAGGTACTTGTCAAAGAAATGAATCTATGTTCTTATCAAAACATGAAGAAACTTATTCTTTTGGAGAATTATGACAATGATATTATATCAAATGTTATAGGGCAGAGATCAAGCACAGAGGATGTTAAAAAGTAAGATAAGACTAATCAATGAATATGATGTTTATTTCATCTAAATACTTTATTCTTTTGTTATCTAGGAACTTAAAGAAACTGAAGAAAAACTGAAAAATACAAATCAAGGTTTATGTAATCAAATGAGACAAATGGTACAGGATTTTGACCGTGATAAACAAGAAGCTGTGGATAGGTATGGTCTATATAGATCCCTGTCGAGATCTTAGATTGGCAGAGATGAGTCCCTGGCTTCTCAAATTAGAATTTGGAACACATTTTCCACAGAAACAATGTTATGTAGTAGGTTGGGTTCTATAGCATCATCAAAACTGTAGTTCACTGAAATATTATAGCTTAGCGTTTTTTCTAAGGCTAATCTGGGAAACTATTCTTTATAAAAAGGAAATCTGTGGGAGGGAATATGTCTTCCAAATATGAAATCATAAACTTGGAAACAGACTTTTGGAACATAACTTACTTGTGAGTTGGGTACTGCTAGTATTTGTGTTTAATAAAGATGACTTAGAATTTTGGAATCATACCCTCAAGTATTTCAATTAATTTTTTATAAACAAAAGTCTTCAACATAGACCACTCTCTCTGAAACAGAGCAGCATTCTCACTTCCAAGTGTCTAATTTTTCTCTAAAAACATTTGAAGAAAGAAAATTTTGAAGATTCTCATAAGATCATTGGCTGTAAATTATTACCACTTTTGGTTGGGGGAAAGCAATCTGACCTCAATTATAGTTGGCATTAGAGCAAAGGGGTGGGAAGGAAGGAAGGCAATGAATTCATTTTGGTGTTTGTAGTAATGCTGGGCATGGCCTTAGATTCTGCTATCTGTTTCTAGGTGTGAGAGGACTTACCAGCAGCACCATGAAGCAATGAAAGCCCAAATACGTGAAAGCCTATTAGCAAAGCATTCTTTGGAGAAGCAGCAGCTCTTTGAGGTTTACGAGAGGACTAATTTGCAACTTAGGTGAGAATAAAAGAGTTTAGCTGCCCTTGAAGCTATAGAAACTACATTCTTCTATTCCATAATTTAGAGGGAAAGTGTTTGTTATGCAGCCCTTGTCATTTTTGGTGGTCACTTAGTTGCTGGTTTTGTGTGTCCAAGATCTGACTTAGATAAGACGAATAAGGAGATGGCTGCTGTGCAGGAATGTTACCTAGAAGTGTGCAGAGAGAAGGATAATCTAGAATCGACTCTCAGGAAGACCATTGAAAAGGAGCAACAGGCTCAGGAGAAGGTACCGTATGAGTTTATGTTGTATCTACCTCATTTGACTTCTCAGGCCTCAGTATTGTCACTTAAACTGACCCACTTGTTCTGGGGAAGTGAATGGGGAAGATATTCATACAATCTCTCCACTTTTGGCTGTATCACACTAAGATAGCTTGCTCACAAAATAAATATTGAACTGATTATTAAAACCTTCGTATAAAATGCCATATAAATAGGAGAAAATGAGTTTTTTTCTTCTAGATTTATTCTAGAAGGCAGAAAAGAGTGGATCAGAGTCACTTTAAGTGTGAACCCCACAAACCCTCATTTTTCATTGTTGCCTGCTCAGGAGACCCTGCGCAGTCCTGTGAGCACCGCACCGAGTACGCCTTCAGAGACCTTTTCCTCTGGCTCATTTCTCTCTCAGTACCTAAGTGTCACTTTACTCTTCTGGGGAGAAGGGCAGGAATTTGAGTGTGGGTCTCATGATACGGAAGGTGATAATATGGAGGAAGTGGTGGGGAAGGTCAGAGTGTTAGTATAACTTCTTTCAGGGAAGCTGGAGGGGCTGCATACAGTAGATTCTCTAACTCTGCCTCATTCTTCCAAGTTGCCCTTGGTGAGTGTCCAGGAGTAAAATCACATGTAAATAGTCACTGCTCCTCTTTTCTTCCCTGTCCTGGCTTGGAGCCTCACCCAGCCTCACACAGGTCTGACTGTCCCTTACACTTCGGACCAGATGGCAGACCACAATTGGAAAGCCACCTGCCTCAAGATTAGAAAATATTTTGAAAGGCTTGAGTAAATGTTCTATACAGAGGTTTTTGAATAAGTTACATTAAAGCGGGTTATTGCTACCGCAGACTTAAAAAGAATAGTAAAGAGCAGGTGAAGAATTCAATTCATTTAATATTTTGATTATTTTTGAATAGATTAATATGATGAAAAAAACACACCATGCATACATATCATCTAGTGGAAACAGAACTTCTAAAGGAAGCTGTTGTAGTTAGTGCTGGCAGTTGAAAGGTTAGAAAGGGTCTTAAATTACCTTGAAATTGAGGACTTAGCTTTCAGCAATGTTTTAAAAATTAAAATTGGGAGATCCTCTAGTGTGGTTGCTTTTTTTAAAATATATGAATTGGCGAGAACATAAGAGCAATTTTCTGAAAGAGGTCATTCTTTTCAGGAATATTTTCTGATACTTTTAAAAGAATCAATTTGACTATAAAATTTGATCTCATATATAATAGGTCAGTTGCAATTCATAGCTGCTGCTGACGAATATTTTGACTTGTGAATATGCACAAGTACAAGAAAGAAAGTTAAAATTGCTATTTGGCCCCTTAAAAAAAAAATCAAACTTAGAGGTAAAATTTTTTTTCCTTAAAAATTTAAAATTCTTTTTCCATAAAATTGACTTTTCCCCCTCCTCTTTGGGTATATAGTCTATACATTTTTAACACATTTATAGATTCATCAGGATGCAGAACAGTTTTATAACCCTAGAATACTCCCTTGTGCTATCCCTTAGTAGTTACACCCACCCCACGTGCCCACTTAAAGGGCCAATGTACTTAAAGCATTATTAGTTTAATTTCTTCCTTCTCTGGGAATTCTTTAGTTTTTTTAATTATAGATTTTTATAAGCCCTTAGTAGTCTTCATAAGCCAGTCAGAACTGAAACACCTGTATATTTAGGAGACTTTATCTAACCTTCTCACATCCTCCAGAGGTAAGGAAAGATATACCAATCTGCTTTTTTAGGAAATGTTTCACACACACAATGGAAGAATCTTATTAAACTCTACAGCAAGCTAGGGAACTTTTGGGGTAGCCCTTCTCTGCAGGATGTAAGCTATTTCCCTATGGTTGAACTCTAGGTAGGGAACTTAATATGGATACAGAATTTATGACACAGATGACTCCAACAGCCCAGGGGTGTATTTTCATGTTTCACATGTGCTGTTTTCTGAAACACTTGTTGAGTCAGGCTGTGGGTTAAGGAGGAGCTCAATTCCACGTTTAAAAGCTTTTGTTAGCACACAGAAGTTTCCTCTCATGTTAACCTGGCTCATTCAGAGAAAGAGAAAAACAGTCATATACACAGAACCCTTCAGATTGGTAGTAATCAGAAGAGACTATGACTTTGCAGACAAGGCAAAGATGTTCAACATTCCCATTCATAATGCCATTCTTATACACCTTCTTAAGCTTTATTTATATAATTATGATACAGCTAAGTAGGTGCTTCTTAGAAGTTAGAGAATTTTTTTTTTTTTGCTATCCAAGTTATGTACAACAAATTTAAATATTTTTAACTTGGAGACTATTAGTGTTGTATAGAGATATTTACTTGAATTTTGTTTAAAGAGACAGCTATTGGAAGAAAGAGAAGAATATGTAAGCAAACTGCAGGTGGAACTTGAAGAAAAGTACCAAGATACTCTTGTGATGGAAAAGAACAAGTGGCTAAAAGAACAGGAAGCTAATATTAAACAGCAAGTTGAAAATGAAGTGATGTTAGCCAAAGCTCACTGGGATAAGGAAGAGAAAGAGGTGTGGATTGAAATTTCTTTCTGGTCACCATGTTTAAAAAATGTAGTAGTAGCTGCAGAAGACAATTCTTCCTGAACAGACATATAATTTTTAATTGCCAGGCACATACATAATCACCCATTTTACCTTTCAGAATTGAGCTATTAACAGCTAACCTCACCAGTTTTATTGTTAAAAGTTTGGCCCCCTCATGACTCTTCAACCCAATTCAGGATATAACAGGCTTTATGGGCACTTCTTTGGTTCCTCAAAATGAAACCATGATCTAACTTCATATTGTGAAATGATTCTGATACCTCTAGACCAATATCTATAATGAACAGATAATCCATATCATGGATTAAAAGGAAGAAGTAATAGACTGCTGGCTCAGAAGCGCAGAATGTATTACCTCTATTGCCTATGTAGCAAATAAGATTAGGAAACACTAAAAGGGCCTTAGAAAGTTAAGGACCAAATTATGGTCTTAAAAATTTATTTGGGGAAGAAAGAAAATTCTTAAGCTTATTTAAACTACATTCTTCTGTCTACAAAATTGCTATTAATCTGGTAGGCAGGGGAGCAGTTTGAGAACCCTGGATATCCAGAAGGTGGGGAGCAGGAAAAGGGAAAAGCGGATTTTGCTGTTTCACAGTTTTGCCTAAGACTGATTGTGTTTAGATCCATCCTGCTACACTGTTAAAGTGGAAAAATCATTAAGACCTTCTTCCAGTAATGTCTTCTCCTTGAATTCCATCGACTTAGTAAAATTTCACATTATAATAAATAAGATTCTAATATGTTCAAGTGAATAAACAGTTTTTTAGAATGTTCAGTTTTGGGTTCATTCATTAGATTTACTCAGTGCCTGCTCAGTGGAAAGTGGGGTGTTGATGGCAAAACACATTAATAGCAACGTGTTTTTTTTCTTTTTATCATGCCATCTTTGTACTGGCAATATGAAAGCTTTCAGAAAGTTGCATATTGAGAGCAAGATAGTCTGACCTTACACAACATATTTGAATCTTCCATGTCATTTTTGTCATATAGTTACGGTCAAAGAGTAACTCTCAAGTTTTACTTGAGAATGTATTTTCATTGACTTAAATTTCCAAACCTCTTTTATTACTACAACAATGTCTAGATGGATTTCAAACACAGCTGTGGTTGCTTTCTTGGCTAGCTATTAATTCTCGTTTTTACTTATTCGAATAGTTTTCTTCTCATACGACTTTTCTTCTGAAAACAGATCAAACAAAAACTCATTCAACAGCTTGAAAAGGAGTGGCAGTCTAAGCTGGATCAAACTATAAAGGCAACAAAAAAGACGACCTCAGATTATGGCAGCCAGACTGACCAAGTAACCACCATTGATGTTATTTCCAAGAAAGAGATGGCAACCATGATAGAAGAGCAGAAGCAAAAGATCCAGCAAAATTTAGAACGAGAGAAGGAAACAGCTATCAAGGGGACTTTGAAGAAACTCGAAACTGAATTGGAACTCAAATATTGTGAAAAAATTGCAAAACAGGTAATAGGCAGATTTATTCTGGTAAAATTATTGGAAATATGCCTGCCTCTTCATGAAAACCTATAAAATGCCACCGATGAACTTGTACATGACTTCATACTTCTAAAATTTTGTGCATTTCTAGGACAGTAAACCTGTCATGTTATTCCTAAAATTTTCTTCGGTATGTTTCTGTCACAAAACTGTCACCCTATGGTTTTTCTGTATATTCTTTCAGTTTATAAAATGTTTGCTCCTCTGGAATCAGTCTAAGCATTAAGATGCCTGAGGTTAAAGTTAAATGGTGGTTTTGCATCTGGATGAAGCACAATTTAATGATGAATCTTTCATATCTAATTTTGTAGAAAATATTCCACTGAGTTAGTTACAGATAAGTAAACCTAAGCAAATAAGGTATTTCGCAATATTTGCCTTGAGACTTGATGCAGAGTTGAATCTGCAAGCGTGCTCTTAAATGGAACTTTGTCTATAATTCCCATCAGCTGCCCAAAAGTGGTGCCATTGCCTTTCCTTTGGAGCACTCACAAAACTAGCTTTTAACTGAGGCAACTTACTTGATTTCAAGGAAATGACATACTGAGAAAAGTATAGCCTGCGTTAACAGAATAAAGATGAGTTATCTGTTATATCTACCTTATCTATTACAGTGATTTTCAAAATTTTTGGTCTCAGGAGGACTCTTTTACTCTTTAAAAAACTGAGGACTCTAAAGAGCTTTTGTTTGTGTGAGTTATATCTACTGTATTGGAAAATAAATCTGAGAAATTTTTTAAAAACAAGAATACCCAAGCTACATTCCTTTGGCTGTCAGAGCAGTGACATCATCACATAGCCTTTGGAGAACTGTGCTGTTTACACAGGAGAGAATGGGAGTAAAAAAGGCAAATAGTGTCTTAATATTATTTTGGAAATAATTTTGACCTCACAGACTACCTGACATGGTTTCTACCCCTCAAGAGGTTCCTGGACCTTTATATATCTATTATGTATTTATTATTTTAGATCTATTACTCACTATAAACTCTTAAACAAGGTAATACCTGAAGTAAGGTTTTTTAAAATACACTCAGCTTTTGATAAATACTTGACATTCTGCTTATTTGTTCCATCATTCCACATAATTTTACAGGGCACCCTACAGGCAAATATATGTAATGGTATCAAGGACATCTTCAATCAATCTTCAAACAATCTTCAATAGTTTCCTGAAATGTTTACTGAAAGCTTTGAAGAGAGTTAATTTTCCATAGACAGAAAGATGAGTTTAAGGGTACTGCTTTGGTATTTATGAAATTATTAATCTTGTGAGGAAAAAATAGCATAATATAGAAAGGAAATGTTCCATAATAACTTTTTTTTTTTTTTTTTCTGAGACAGAGTCTCGCTTTGTTGCCCAGGTTAGAGTGAGTGCCGTGGCGTCAGCCTAGCTCACAGCAACCTCAAACTCCTGGGCTTAAGCGATCCTTCTGCCTCAGCCTCCCGAATAGCTGGGACTACAGGCATGTGCCACCATGCCCGGCTAATTTTTTCTATATATTTTTAGTTGTCTGATTAATTTCTTTCTATTTTTAGTAGAACAGGGTCTCGCTCTTGCTCAGGCTGGTTTTGAACTCCTGAGCTCAAACAATCCGCCCACCTTGGCCTCCCAGAGTGCTAGGATTATAGGCGTGAGCCACCGTGCCTGGCCCATAATAACTTTTTAAATAATATACATTTCTATAGGAGCATTATCTTTTCCCCATATTTTTAACTCCCTGGAGTTTACACATAGATATATTTAGCACTTCAGGAAGAAATATAGCCTCTTAAATCAACTGTGCTTTTGTGTGTATGTATGTATGTATACATATGTGTGTGTCTATGTGCATTTTAAAATAGAAGGAATAAGGAAAAATTATTTAATAAACAATATTCTGATAACTGGTGACAGATTTACAACCAGATCACCCTCTTAATCCATCAAGTCTTACATTTTTGTCTGAATTGAGCTATCACCCTCATTCTTTAGTACAAACTCATTCTTGACAGTAGGAAAATTTGCCAGGTGTAAGGCTCTAAACTATATGGATGCACTTGTGTGTGTGTGTGTGTGTGTGTGTGTGTGTGTAGGGCATGAGAAGTGAAGAGGTGGTAGGTGTAGTGATTGGAGAGCAGCCCTCTGGCAGTCCTCCTTTTTCCCAAAGTAAACAGGAGTTGTAGGAAATGGAGATTGGTATTTCATATAAAGCCTTCTAAAATAGTGTTGGTAGTCAGACATTTACAGATTCCCATTTCCTGTTGTGGCATTTGTATGGGACGCTATGGAAAGTTTAGAACAGAAAGATTTGAATCTACTATTGGGATAAGGAAGAGTGCTTGAGGTCAGTGTAACTGTAAAGTAGTGAAATACAATGTAAAATATACATGAAATCGTAGCTGCTATTTGAAAATGGGGTCTTTTTGAAAGCCCCCTTTTTGACCCTTTTTCTTTTGCAATGTACTATAGGTAGAAATAGCTGTGCAGAATGCTCGTCATCGATGGCTGGAAGAACTACCTGACCTTGCAGAGTATCAGGCACTTGTGAGAGCAGAACAGAAGAAGTGGGAAGAACAACAAGAGATCTCTGTGGCCAAGCGGGTAAGAGGTCTCCTGGAAAGAAGCTTCAGGAAGTGATCTCACCCAACCCCCTCCCTCATCTAAGTCCTTGGAATTTGTACCTACTCATAGCGTTGTTAAAGGTTTAGATATGATAATGCATGGTAAGCATTAGCTCATGGCCTAGGAAGTGGTATCTGTTCTTGTCATCAAGTTGTTTGGGGAGAGATAATGTATTTTAGCATCTTAAAACTCTCATAGTTAGAAAGATAACCTTAACTTAGAAACTAAATCTCATTCTATCTTGCCCTATCTTTAGGTGAGATTGAGAACAGGTGTTTATCCATTTATTATTAGCTATACAATATTCTTTCACATGCTTAAAGGTTGCTGTCTGTGCTGTTTCAGTAATCTTACAACATATTCTTGTTGGTAAATAGCCAGCTCTCCCTTCCAGAGATGTCATGTTTCTTGACTAGAAGACACATATTATAACCATGTGTACTCTTCCAACTTAATTTACTGGTCTGAACCAATTCTAATCAAAATGTCAACAAACTGAACATAATTTTGAAAGTTGACACAATAATTCTATAAAATTTATTTGGAAAAGTACAAGGACTGGAATTTTCTTTTTTTTTTTTTTTTTTGAGACAGAGTCTCACTCTCTTGCCTGGGGCAAGTGCCGTGGCATCAGCCTAGCTCACAGCAACCTCAAACTCCTGGGCTCAAGCAATCCTACTGTCTCAGCCTCCCGAGCAGCTGGGACCACAGGCATGCGCCGCCATGCCCAGCTAATTTTTTCTACATATATTTTTAGCTGTCCAATTAATTTCTTTCCATTTTTTGGTAGAGACGGGGTCTCGCTCTTGCTCAGGCTGGTCTTGAACTCCTGAGCTCAGAACGATCCGCCCGCCTCGGCCTCCCAGAGTGCTAGGATTACAGGCGTGAGCCACCGTGCCCGGCCGGGAATTTTTCTTAATGTTCTGGAAAAGAAGTTGTAGTGCAGCTTTAACGCAAATATGTCGGAAAGCAACAACTCAGGCAGTATTCAGTCACAAAAATATAATTGTTTTTAATTCAATGCAATACAGATTTCCAAGATAGTCCCAACTATGAATAAAAGCTTAATAAATTATGTTAAAACAGGGAGTGAGGAATTATTCCATAATAAATAGTCTTATGATAGCTAGATAACACTTTGAAAAAACTATTTACCTACACTATGTATTACAATAAACTCTAGGTTAATGAAGGAGTTAAACGCTTTTAAATAAAAATGTAGAAAAATTAAAAGAAAATTGAATATTTCAAATCTGTATCATAATAACAGCTCAACAGCAAAGTAGTAGGTTGAAATAGGTACAGACATTTAAAACTCTTTTTTGTAATAAATAATAAAAAGTAAAGCTAAGGGGATAGTAATGAAAATGAATCACACATGAAAATTACTAATATTAACACATGATAAAGAGTTCGTACAAATTTATAAGAAAAACAAGAGTCCATGGATAAGTATGCCAAGGATATGAGCAGATAATCTTCATGAGAAGTCCATATAGCAAAAAATTAGCAGAACGTTCATTCAGACCTGCCAGTATTAGGGAAATGCAGATTAAAACAAACTGAAGGCACCATTTTTTGCTGTGTGTATAAATCTTCTCTTCTGAATTGTAATACACAGAATAGACTATAATTGCAGTGTCAAGTGTATACTTCCCTCCTGCTGTCACAACCATTTTGGAAAATAATGTGGTATAAACATAAGTTGTAAACGATTTGTAACTTGTATTCATTACATTATTCCACAGATTACTTAAGGAAATAATTCAACATAAGTAAAAATCTATTTTAATATTTTTCTTAAGTTATGTGGTAGTACCTGGGTGTTCATAACATTATTCTCTGTACTTTTAGTATGTCTGAAATATCTCAAAAGGAAATTAAAGAAGGGGAGAGAAAGAGGCAACAATATGATGATGAGAATATGTGTCTCAGCTCAGTAGTCAAGTAGGATAATAAAATTAGGTGTAACATAAAAAATAAACTAGGCCAAGAAATCTTTCCTTAAGAGCACAGAAGGCCCGAATGTATGTGAATGCAAAAATATAGAAATGAGAGAACAGTGTTTGTGTTGCTTCTCAAACGTGAGCAGGCATGAGAATCACCTGCAGGGTGTGTTAAAGTGTAGGTTTCTAGGCTTTCCTTCTAGAGATAAAGATTTGGTAGGTCTGGAGTGAGTCCTGAGAATTTGCATTTCTAACAGGCTTCCAGTATCATAGTGATGCTACTGGCCTTTGGACCACACTTGGGTGTGAGAAGCACTATTCTAGATAACCGTATCAGCCACAAAACATAATGCTAACTAACGTGTGCATCCTTCCTCCAAACCAAAGGAGGTCCAGAAAGGTTCAGCTTCATAGCATTGGCTGGAGAGTTCTTTTAAGGTTAGAGTGATCAGTTGAGATCTGTGGCAATTTAAAGCCAGTTTCTACAATTCAGAAATAGTCAAGTTGATTCAGTGATTCTCAAACTTTCTTGCACACTGGAATAACTTGAGGCTCTTCAAAAAGTACTGTGGTTTGGCCCCCACCCTCAAACTTCATGTTTTTATTGGTATGGGGAGTGGCCTGGGCTTCCAGATTTTTAAAAGCTCCTCAGGTGGTTCTAATGTGCAGCAAAGTTTGGGAAGAACTGAGTTGATGAATGCTGTCAAATACTCCTTGTAAAACTTCAATGAGAGGATGCACATTTTTGATAAAGTTGGGCAAGTCATCCAAACTCCATGGGATCCACCACCTCCATGCAAGTTACCCGGTAAAGATTTCCAGGCATCCATTGCAACATGACCTGTTTTCTCTAAAACCACTATTTAAACATGTTTCAAATCACCACAGAATTATTCTGCTGGTAGCAAAGGAATTTCACAGTGAATTCCTTTGTAAAACTCACCTTAGATAGTGGGTTCCTTTAGTAGAAAATTCAGTAAGCAGATACCCTATCTCATCATCCCGGACATATACATACTATTGATTAATGACAAACACCACTCTCTAGACCAAGCCTTTGGAGATGCCCAATTCTGTCTTTTGACACTATTGTGTCCTTGTGACTTCTTTGAATTCAGTCAGGGAATATTAGAAGTAAAAGGGACTCAAGGTCATTATCCAAACTGCTCATTATATAAGTGAAGACACTAAGTGCCAAGGAGATTGACTTTTCCAGACCATGTATCCAAAAGTAATACTAACTACGTATTAATAATATTTATTGAGTCCTCATTATCTGCCAGGCTCTGGGCTAAGTATTTTAAATGGAATGTTTTATGTTATTTAATCCTAAACAACCCTACCAAATTGGCATTGTAATTATCCCCATTTTATAGCTGAGGAAATTGAGGCTCAAAGAAGTTGAGGAATGAGCCTGTAGTTCCACAGCTGGTAAGTTAATCTCAGCCCTTTGTCTCCAGAGTCTGCTCTGTTAAGCACCTGTGCTGGCAGCCTTTGCAATCAGTGGCAGGATTAGACCTAGAGCTCAGGTTTTTTGATATCCCTATTATTTTCTGGTTATGTACTATCTACTATTTTCTGTGATCCACTAGTCTTGTTACTTTGTTATGAAAACAGATTAATGAAAAATGACTTTTCCTATTTGGTATTGTCTTTAATGTACTATTCTAGTCTCTCAAATTGCATTAAAACATAATTATGTTTATCACCAAATAATTATGCAAGTGTATGTTAAATTCCTAAGTAATACTAAGATTTCCTTATCAGACTGCTTTGGCTTTAGGTAAAAGATACTTATTTTGTTGGGGGCGTAGACAAAATTTGAGACTGTATCTGTATTAAAAAAACTAATATGAAATATTTTTCTAACATTAGTTTTTTTATAATTTTATATTTTTTACATATATATATTTTTTGGGGGGGGGCTAGTTTCAACATTTAGTTTCACATCAAGAAACCAATGTTTCGTTTCTAAATAACATGAGGCATAAATTGTTAAATGATTTTGAACAAAGGAAAAGATCCTTGAGTATAGTGTAAGTGTATTTTTTAGAATGTCTTATCTAAAGTTCAAAGGTTAACCCAAGTAGTTACTTTAATTTTTTTTACTAATGAGAAGAATCATAAAGACTCTTTAAATGTATATTGTTATATTCTTTAGATATTGTTTGCTGTTTCTGAAGCTAAAGAGAAATGGAAAAGCGAGCTTCAAAGTATGAAGAAAAATATAATACCTGGAAAGGAATTGGAACAGAAGATTCATTCTCTTCAGAGGGAACTAGAGTTAAAGAATGAGGAAGTCCCCGTGGTCATCAGGGCTGAGTTGGCTAAGGCTCGGAGTGAATGGAACAAAGAAAAGCAAGAAGAAATCCACAAAATTCAAGAACAAAATGAGCAAGATTACCGGCAATTTTTAGATGATCATAGAAATAAAATTAATGAGGTGCTTGCGGCAGCTAAAGAAGACTTTATGAAACAAAAAAATGAACTGCTTCTTCAGAAGGAGACAGAATTACAAACATGTCTAGACCAGAGTCATAGAGAATGGACTATGCAGGAAGCCAAGAGGATCCAACTGGAAATCCATCAGTATGAGGAAGACATCCTAACTGTACTTGGGTTTCTCCTAATGGATATCCAAAAGGAGCACCTTAGTGGTTCAGAGGACAAACAGCTTTTAGAAATCATGTCGACTTGTTCTTCAAAATGGGTGTCTGTCCAGTATTTTGAAAAACTAAAGGCCTGCATACAGAAAGCATTTCAAGATATACTTTATCTACTTATAGAAAATGCTGACTTAGATTGGGAAAAGGTATGTTCCTGAGAGTAGAAAGAGATATTGAACATCAAGGGTGATTGTAGAGGTTGTATGTGGTGTTTTTCCTTTCTTCATTTTACAGTTTAATAGATGTAAGACTTGTGTTTTTGCCAGTGGTTTAAAAAACTTTTTGTAGCAAATCCAAAGGCTTGCATATTTTGTTGCAAAAAACTTTACTACTTCATAGACCCTACTTCATCATAGTGTCACAGATATGAGCTTTTAGCCTCTAGACAACTTTTTTGTAAAGAATATATGCTATTCTTTGTAAGGGCCTGAGATTTTAGAAACTGGGTAACTCTCATTCCTATTTTTGTTTTCTGGGCCTGACCACTTCAAGAAATATGCATCATATTAGAGTTTCTTAAAAGCTTCTAAAGAGTTTGGAAGCCTGTTTCTTGCCCTCAAGAAATTTATATCTATTTGGATAAAAAACGCCAGATAAGTACAAAGAGTATTGATGTGGAAACAGGCAAATAGAGGTATGCCTTACTTACACCCAGTTTCATTGGTGTCCTATATATGGGCATGTGCATATAGAATGAATTAATTGTACTCTTTTAGTTATATAAGTACTCTCTCAGACCAGCTGTTAATTTGTGTGGAAATTCTGATAAAACCAAAGTCTTGCTGCCTTTTGATTAAAGAAATGAGGTATGTATGAAAGATCCAGAATGCTAGTCTAAGTATTATGAGTAAACAATTTCAATATTTAGAATTGAAGTAAAAAAAAAAATGCCATTATAAGATTTTGCTTATAGGAGAGTTGAGACATAAAAGTTAAGGTCCATCAAGAAGATATCATGATTATAGATTTTCAAGGCCAGGATTGAGCATTTGGTATTAATATCTACTTAAAAGAGTTATAAACTAGAAAAAAAAAATCTAACTTCCAGTGTCATGCTTGATGATAACTAGCTCATTACTTGGGGCATTCATATACTATAGTTGCTCATCTGAAAAAGAAAATACAAATCCCGGGCCTAATTCCTTGGCTTTTGGTAGGATATGTATGACACAGCTTGGCCTTTCTGCTTTCTGCACTTGAAACAGTAGAATTTTAGAGCCAAAAGAGACCTGAAACATTAGTTGACTCTATCTCAGTTCACCCCAGTTGATATTTTTATCCTTGATTTCACAAAAATGGTAGTACGGAGTAATTGCCTTCATTGTAAAAATAACTGGGCAAGATCACTTCACATGAATACTACTTAATATTTTATTGGAAATTTTTGGAGAAAATAGACAATTAAAATAAAAATTATATGTAGCAGGTTTTTGAGGATGAGAAGCAATGGGAAAATCATGTCATGTGCCTTCAAGTCTGCTTTCCTGAAAAGGCAATCTCTGCTATAAAAATCAAGAAACTACAGCACTTTGCTTCTATATATATAGTAGAATATATATATATATATAAAATCAACCCTGGGGTATTTTTATGGATTTATAATTGTGTAAGCAGTATAAGATCATCTGTGTGACTTAATGTGGCTCATAAGTCTATGGAGACAGATTCATATAATCTGGTTAAGAATTTAGATGTTTGCAGCATTTGTCGGGTGGGTCAGATTCTGCTCCTGAGTGAAGGATGGCTTGAAAATGCTTAATCTGGTATTTGTCATAGAAGTAATACTTGACCTTCTACCATTTCCAAGTTAACTCAGTTCAGGGCCTTGTGGTAAACTAATGATTATAAAGTGATTATAAATTTGCAATATGCGTGCCATAAATGTAAAGAACTATGATTTATAATTTATTAAATCTAGTTTTTAGAATTGTTCATAGAACTTCAAACAAAAAATTATTTATCAGTGTATATAAACAAGTCCTCATTTAAAAAACTGAGATGATCAAAAGTTTTTTAAAATGGAGAGGATGCAATGAATGAAAAAATACAGTTTTCAAGAAAACAAATGCCTTATCTAAATGTATTAATACAACAATATTAATCAAAATACATTAATATAACAATAGATAAGAGAAAACAGAAATATCAAATGGAACAAAATTGTCAAGCAATCTTAAGGATGTGTGTTCTGTCTCTTCTTACCACCAAAGTCAAGTTAAAATTAAGACAAAAAGATTGCTGCTTTCCTGCCTTTTTGGTCATCTTGTCTTCTCCAGTTCTGAGTAGAAACTGGAAACATTGACTGCCTTTGGGTTCACCTTTTCTTATTCCTTTTGGCTTCAACCCACAGCCTCTTGAGTGCGTAGAGTTTGCCTTTTCTCTGTTATTGCTGATCTCTGCTTCTGTTGGATGTCATAGGTAGGTTTCCTGACATCAGGTACATGGGTTCCTCATAATCAAAATCAAGGCTTCTAGAATCAAGTATATATGTTTTTTAAGTAATTAAATCAGACTGCTTTCTCAATATCACATATTCTATTCTTTTTGGATTTAATAGATGTCCAAAATCTGAAAATAGCCGTAAAAATCCATTAATGAATTTAGTATTATAGCTGTATTACCTGTGACAGGGACTGGAATACAGAAAGCACTCAATAAATGTTAGTGAAGAAATAGTCTTGTGGAAGATGTTTAATTTCACTAAGCCTGAGTTTCTGTCTTTTAACGTTGGAATTCAACTGGCCTTCCTTACAAAATTACAAGTATGTGTTAATTTAGAAGCATATAAAGTACTGTATAAATTTAAAATAGTTTTGTTTTCAATTTGTGGGAGACAAAAGGTTGGTATTATAGTTGCTAATGAATTTGACTCCTGCCGCAGTGAAATGTTCTGGATTTTCAAGAACAATTCTGGTTTCCTGTCATCCATCCTGTGGTTTGATCACACAAACCATTAAAAATATCTCAAATTCCTGTATGTAAGTGTGCTAACCATATCTCCTGACTGTCTCATAGCAAGCCCAGCAGTCCTCTGTCAGACAATGTTCTAATTTGTAAACTATGGTCATAGGAGGCTAGTTCATAGGATAGTGGCAATATTCATGGAACATCCTAAGAAAAATATTAGTGATAGTTCAGACAAGATTTTTTTTCAGGCATTTTGTTTTGTTTTGTTTGTAATTTTAACATTAGCATTTTAAATAGAAAATTGTATAAAGATTTTTACTAGGCTTTAACTATGAAGATAATTTATTTCAGAGAAATATGGCCAAGATCTCTAAGGACCCTGCCTGTCGGGGAACTGGCAGAGGAGACTCTGGAGTCCCGGCAGCCCTGCCTGCACCCACTTCTGGACACCACACTCGGCCCTTGGCCTTGCAAGGAACAGAAGCCGAAGCTGGTAACTGAATTTTGTTCCCTCCAGTCTTTGTAGCATTTATAATCACCCTTCCAGAGGGCCGCTTTGAGGATAAAAGGAGATCAAAGATGTGAACAGTTTTCTGAGTGAACAAATATGTAATATTACTCTGACTTAATATGTATCATTTGCTTAGATTTCATTTTGTATTTATAGGACAGGGTTGATTTGGGCCCTCTTACTACTTCTATCTTTTTATAGTTTTCCCTCCATTTACAAGCGATTCTTACTACGTGGAGAATAATGAGAATTTTAATACAACAGTCATGTTTTTATTCCATGGTTATTGAGAAATTAATGGTTTCACATAAGAGAATTGCCAAAGAGACCTTTTCATTTAAATTACTGAAGCTTATTTTAACCATATTTTTAGTGGAAATCTTTCTGAAGTATATTAGATGTTTCCTATTTATTTGTAAGTTTTTTGACGTAAGGGCAGTATTTTTAATCTCTTCTCCAACATGTGGCAGAGTGAATTATATGTAGTTTGTGCTCCTTGGTCATTTGATAAATTAATAGTATAACTTTTCCTTACTTAGACTTGTCATTATGACAAAGAATTATTGTACTATAGCCCCTGGTATTCAGAGCTTACCGAGTAATACAGGACTTTTATTGCCAATTCACTGAGATTTCTGAGCTTGAAATTGGCACATCCTTTTTTCGCTCCCAGCCTTTTTTGGGATATTGACCCCTTGCAGCCTGTTCCTTCCCTCCAAACACAATCACTCACACACTCCGCCATGCTGCTTATTTGCTGTTTCCACTGTAACCCGGAAAAGAACTAACAATTGCCACGGCTAATCGTACGTTCGTTTCTGCACATTTCTAATTCAGTATGCAATGTTACCAGAATCTTAGAGAATCTCTGCCTGTCCTGAGAGGTTAGTGGGCAGTTATTTTTCCTCATTGTTCACAGACCCTTTTCCCTTACTTCTAAGTTCTAGATGGCTGAGAATATCTTACAGCCAATTAGGTGGATGGTAATACTACCTTATTTGTATTTTCCTTCTTACTTTTTATTTTATATCACATGTGAGATAGCCTGAGAATTACGTTTTAATCTGTGAAATGGGTAGAGACAAGTTATAGATGTTATTTGGGAAGTCCTTTCAATATGAAGGAAATTAGTTTTGGCCAAAGACAAATCGGACTATATAAAATGATTTTTCTTTCTGTAATCTTTTTTCCCTTAAAAACAAACACATTAACAAATTCATTAGAAAGGATTAAATAATCTAAAACATGTGTTAAGTGAAAAAGTCTTTTATAATCCTAACACTAGAGAGTATCACTGTTGAGTGTTACATTAGTTATATTCTCCTAATATCTTACTATTTTTAAAGTAACTTAAATGTTAATTATGAAATACTTGTTTCATGCAAAGAATATATGTAATACATATGTAAGTTGTAAAGCCTAATGACCAGGAACCCACTATTCAACTTAAAGCATAGAATATCACCAATACTGTTGATCACAATTCCATCCCCACAACTTCTCCACAAATCTGAGGTAACAGATACTCTGGTTTTTAAAAATTATTCTCTTGCTTTTCTTTACGTTTTGACCAAATATACATATCCTCAAATAGTTACTGATTTTTTTTGTCTTTTAACATTATAAATACGATTTAATACTCATTATATTCTTTGTAACTTTTTTCCACTTAACATCATGCTTCTAAGATTTTTCTGTGTTGATGCATATAGCTCTAGTTCATTCATTTTTCATTGCTGTATAGTATTCCATTATATGAATATACTATAATTGATTTATCTATTTTCTTGTCAGTGGGCATTGGCATGGTTTCCAACTTTACAACAGTATCTTAACTGAAAAATATAAATGTAGTATGGTGCCAGTGTGATGCTTCATTGATCCTTTGATGCTTATGAACATAACAGCTCCATTTAAATCAAACTGAAATGCCAGAAGAGAACTAAGAATAATTTTGTTGGACCAATGACTTTACATTATCATTTTGGATATTGACTTTGGAGTCTATGCCAATTGTATTCTGATTTTATTATATCACTTATAATAAATTGCTAATAATAATAATCTGCCTTTTATGTTTATATATTTTAATTTTATAAATTCTATGTTACTAATGACAACAGCTATTATTTATTGTGTACATGCTTTATGCCAGACACTGTGCCAAACAATTTTTATACATTTGTTTCCCAACAGTTTTAAGTCCTTTTTTAAATTGGAGATAATTTCAAACTTACAGAGAAGTAGCAAAAATAAAAATAGTTACAAAGAACACTCAGATACTTTTTAACTAGATACACCTATTGGTAACATTTTACTGTGTTTTGTGCTCTTCTGTGTGTGTGTGAATATTTTCTTTTTTTTATGAACCATTGGAGGGTAAGTTATAAATATATTGTGAACTTTTGCGCCTAAGTACTTCATACTATTTTCCAAGAATAGGAATATTTCTTATATAACCTTAGTACGGTTAACTTAACATTAGATAAAAGTATTGTGTCAATCTGCTGTTTGTATTCTAATTTTGTCAATTGACTCAATAATATCTTGTATAACAATTTTTTTCTGATAGAGTACAGGAATCTGTCTGGGGTCAGGTATTACATTTATTTGTCATGTATCTTTAGCCTTCTTTAATCTAGAACATTTCCACAGCCTCTCTTTGACTTTTATGACATTGATATATTTGAGAGAAATATTCTCTTCCCCCCTCCACACTTTTTTAACAACTTATCTCATTTGGTGTTTGTCTGATGTTTCTTCATGATTAAATCCAGGTGTTGCTTTCTTGTCTGGAATGCTACCTGGGTGATGTGTTATTGCATCTGGAAGTACATGGTGTCCATTTGTCTTTTATGGGTCAGGTTAATTTTGATCACCTGGTCAAAACGTCCAGTTTCTTCACTATATAATTACTGGGGTTTTTTTTTACCCTTGCAACTAATAAGCAGTCTGTGTGAAGACACTTTTAAGACCATGCAGATATATCCTTCTCCTCATTAAAACCTTCTCTTAGATTTGTCGGTTATTGATGAGTCTTGCCTGATCCAGTCTTTACTATAATGGTTGTGAAATTATGATTTTTCTAATTCCAGACTTCCCTCCACTTATCCCAATTGGCACTTGGCTTATTGTTATAATCAAGAATCTTCCCTTCTCGTTTGCCTATTTATCTGTCTGTCTGTCCATCCATCCGTCAACCTACTTACCCACCAACCTCCCTGCCTCCCTATCCATTTAGTCATCCATCCATCCATTTGTAGGATTATTGATGTGACTCATAAGCTTCTATATTTTCAGTACTTTATAATTCATTATTATATTTAATTGTGCTCAAATTATCCCAATTCAGCTAGTGGAGCTCCTTCAAATCAGCTCCTATGTCCTTCTGACATGCCAATATTTTTGAGTATTTTCTTACTTTCTGGCATAGCAAGATATTTCAGCCTCATTTTGTATATACCCTCTCCCAGTACAGAAGCCAGCCATTTCTTGATGATCCCCGGTTCCTTTTAGTAGGGAATGGTATTCAATACGAAGATCCCAAGCATTAGGTTTCATGGCAATTTTTAAAGTAGATGGTATTATCCAATATTACATATTTAAAAATTAAGTCTCAGAGAGGTTAAATAACATACTCTAAGTCACACAGAGAAAAAGTAGTAGAAGCAGGATTTAAACCCAGTTCTTTCCATCTTATGCATCATGCTCTTTTACTTACACTGTAGCTTGTAGTCATGAGTCTCATCATCGGGTTTTCTTTCCTTTTTTAATGGTAGTTCTTAGTCTAAACTGATAAAAAGTGTTTTATCATTTAATTTTTACAGATAAGAAAAAGATTCTTGAAATTAAAGATTTATGCTGTGGACACTGCTTCCAAGAACTTGAAATGGCAAAGCAGGAATGTCAAGATCTGAAAAGAAAACTGGAGAAATGCTGTAGGCATCTTCAGCATTTAGAAAGGAAACACAAAGCTGTAGTGGAAAAGATTGGAGGTTAGCATTTAAGGTAGCACTGCTACCAGTATGAATCTCTTTGATCCTTGTTGAAATGTTCAAATGTGACATTTTAGTTAATGTATGTACTGATTCTCTTTTGGGATTAATGTAAACTAATTTGGATCTTATTTTTACTGACTGAATTGTTATTACTAAGCTCAAAAGAGGAAGATTTCAGCTCTGATTAAAAGGTCACATTTCTTTCTTCCTTTCTTGATTGGATAGATATTGGGATCCCAATATGTGTCAAGCAGTATTCTAGGCACTGGGGATGTAGCAGTGAATAAGTCAGACAAGGTTCCGGTTCTGATGGAGATGTAGAAAACTGTGTTCCCTTCCTTCAAGGAGCTTATGGTTAAGTGAGGGAAACTAGAAGCAGACTAATAAATAATATGACATTGAGCACTCTTGGCAGTGTATTATGTGTAATTGCAGTAAGATAGGATGTTAACTCAGCCTCTTATTAGATTTAAGGCAGATTTGACTAAGCTTTGAAAAATGCAGGTATTTGCCAGGTTGAAGAACAGCATTCTAGGCAGAGGGAAGAGACATAAACGAGGGCACATGGGTCCAGTCTGGCTTCTGCCCAGTCCATTCATCACAATGCTGTCAGCGATATTTTAGAAAGGGATATCTTCTGCCGTGTCCCATTGCACTTAAGAAGGGAAGCTATTAGGCTTAAACGGCTATTCCCTCTTACCTTTTACTGTCCACTTATATCCTGCACTCTATACTCTTTCCATTTGAAGCGTTTCAGATTCCTGAGCTGGTCATAGTTTCTTTTACTGCTGGACCTTGCGTATGATGTTATCCCTCTGTCCTGTACTTTATCCTACCATCTACTTTTTGGTCTAACATTCTAGGATTCAACTCAGAAGATGCTTCGTCTGCAAAGCTCTCCTCAATTTTCCTCAGTCTGTGTTAAGTTAGCTGCTCATGTGCAGCCTTGTAGCACTTGGCTCTTCCTCTGTTACCTCCGTAACCATTCTATATTTTAATTGTTTGATGACTTGCCTGATTACTCCAAACTATAAGTTCCCTGAGGATAAGGAATATGTCTTATCTTGTTCATCCTTGTAGTCATGCTGCCCACTACATACCCGAGAATAAATGTTTGAATGAATAAAAAGCTGAATGCCAGGGTCCCAAATAATGGTGTCATCCAGAAAAGACAAGGAGAATAGGTTCATTTATTTTCCACATTCACCTCTGTCTCTTGCCTGGACAAGGGCAACCACCTCCTGAGTGTTTCTGCTTCCAGTCTTGCCCTCCAGTCCATTCTCTACTGGGCAGTTAGAGCAACCTTTTTAAAAAAGTGAATTGGGTCATGATACTATTTTGTTTAAAGCTCTTCAGTGGCTTGCCATGGCCCACTGTATGAAGTATAAACACTTGATTTAACATGGTTTAAAAAAGCTCTTCGTGCCCCTGCCAGCCCCTCCAGCCTTGTCTTCCTCCAGCCCTCCTATTCTCTCAGCAGAGCCATAGCATGGATTTCATTGTCTTCTCCCTCTACCAAAACATCCTGATCTCACCACCTGGCTAACTCCTACTCATCCTTCCCCCAGTACCTTACTTCCTCAGGGATCCTCTCCTGACCACTGCACACTTGGGTATGTCCTCCTGTTACACATTCCTCATGGCTCCTGTGCTTTTTATAACATTTATCATCTTCATAATTATGCATTGTCTGTACTCCCCTTTGGAGTCTTCACGGCAACAAGGATTAAGTCCTGTCCCAGCACTTAGCACGGTACCCGTCATCATAGCACACCATCGGTAAAATAGGGGTGACTAAGAGAAGCCACCTACTACTTCTTAAGTCTGTTAATGATAGATAATAATTACTTTAGGGCTAGAAAGGGTTTTAAGAATTTGGGGAGAAAAAGTTTAATAACTATAATTCCTTTTGTGATTACTTAGCTCTTTAGTAGAGGCCAGGAGAATAAATGAGATATTTGTCCAGCTGTAGATATAGATACAATATAGCTATTATAAAATTTGTTGAAGACCAAGAAAATTTTGTTTTACATAATGAAGTGACAAGGGAAGTTAAATATGATTATTATTTATAAATAATAATATTTGGTATCATAAATTGTGATCATAAAATAGTTATTCTACATAGTGCTTTTTGAAGCTTATATCTTCTACAATTCATAGACTTAACAAATAATGCAAGAAAGTTGATACTTCCCTCAAAACAGTAGCCTGATAAAAGGGATCAAGATCAGAATTTAAGTCACTTAGTAGTTTTATTTTAAATTTTTTCTTAATATAAATCTGTTAGATGAAATCTTTGCTATTGCTTCTTTTTTGTTTCTTAAATTCCATTTTCCACTCCCTTGGTAGTGTTTATTGAAAAATGATGGAGTAGGAGTGGATGGTTTAAAAATATGTCAATCAGTAAGGGGAATGGAGTAATTTTGTCCCCCAACTCAGAGGGTGTGTTGAGAGGGTGGCATAGTAGGAAACATGAGGTGCCATGTTCACATTTAATGAACATTGGTATTGCCAGGCTTTGTATAAGGTGTTGTGCATTTGTTGTTTTATTTCTATTATAATCTCTAAGGTATGTAATACTATCCCTATTTTATGCGTAAAAAAACTCAGCTTCAGAAAGGTTAAGTAATTACCGCTCATCCAACTGGTAAGAAACAGACTAGGATTTAAACTCATATATCTCTGACTCTGAAATTGATGCTTTTTCCTTCAGACTACGTGGACTCTGTCCCCTTTTTAAAAGTTCAAAGAATTAAAAATCTTACATTATTTCTGAAAATGGTACCTACTTGAGGTTAATTTTCTTTTAATTTTATGTTGAGGTGCTTGTTCAATGATCATTTATATGAGCATAGACTGTCTACCAGGATCCCTGGGAAACATGGGATTAGGAAACCTAGTAGGTTTCTATGGCTCTTAACTCTAGCTGGAAAATGAAATGTATGCATGTGAAACCGTTGGGATCCGATTCCAGGACAGTGTATAACCTAAAGCAAGAAGAAGATGGAATACAGATTTTAAGTGCTGAGAAAAAAACAAAGCAAGGGACTGATCAGACTAGCATTTATCAGGGAATGAATGACACCAGAGAGCAACAGGAAATCACACAGGCTCCTCTGCAAACATCTGTGTTGGGAACTTAAGGGAAAGGAAGGCTCAAACAAAAAAATCAACTGACCGATATACTATAAACTTTCTTCTGTAGAAGAGAATAGTAAAGTTGTTGAAGAATTAATAGAAGAAAACAATGACATGAAGAATAAATTGGAAGAACTGCGAATACTTTGTAAAACACCACCAAGGTAGATTTTTACTGTTTTAAAGAAACCATTTATTTCTAAGTACAAGTATCTTTAAATTTTTTAAAATATAAGTTATTGTTATACAGCAAAAAGTATAAAAAAGAAGAAAATCTCCCAAAATCCTATTCCCTGAAGATACCTTCTGTTAACTCTTATTTTATATCAGTTAAGCCTCTTTATACACAAACACCATGTGTACAATGTGTTTTAAAAGTTGAGATTATTGTATAAGGTATTTTGGAAACTTTTATTAACTTAATATTATTAGACAAGCATTTCTTCATGTTATTAGATATTCTACAGTATGCTTTTCAACAGCTGCATAAATTTTTATCATGTGGATTTACCATTTATTTAAGCAACTATAAAATTTAAGTTTCTATTTTTCTCCTCTTTTCAATGTTTGTGTAGAGGAAATCTTTTTATATGAAATTTTTAGCACA